GGGAGGGCGCTGGGCTGTGGCCGAAAGGACGGTGGACGGGGACGCGCGCTGGCCGCCCAGCAGGCTCACGAACCGGACAGCGGGAGGAGGCAAAACGACCGGACGCGGCGTTCTCGGCGTCCACCGACTCCCACAGTAATGTTCCCACAGCTCATGCCGGAAGAGTCCATTTTATTCCGTGTCACACAGACAATTGCCATGTATTCCCTTAACACGACTATTCTTTTATAACAATTTGGTGTCTTCATAGTGCTTTTCCGTCAGATCCTGAACAGCTTTCATTTTATCCACCTGCTATCCAAAGATGACATCAGCCTCCGACCACAGGTGGGTGGAGTGGTGCGTTATGCACTGCTGTGGCAGAAAACATTTCTTTTTCTGCTAAAGTCTGCACAGAAAACATTTTCGCATACAGATGGAGTAACATTCTTAATATTGTACTTACTGCCTTTCACACAACATCTTATGGCATTGGTCTTGAACTATTTTGTATTTACACCACCTGTTACCATGCTCGATCGAAGGAAGTAACAAAGCTGAGACTGGAGACACAGAATCTGTAAACCTATGCCCAATACCGCCCTTAGCAAAGAAGTTTTACAAATGTTCTCAGAAACCAGCCAACTGTTCTCAGTAACGGCGAGCCCTCACTCCATTATGTTCCCTTTGCTTTAGGGCAGAAATTCAGAAAGTCAAGAATACTCACAGAAGGTAAATCATTTTGGTGCCATGATACACGTTCAACTTGCTTGACACTCCGTATGAACTTGCTGTTTAGCACCCAAGTTTCTTCATACAGTGTCATTCTAAATTCCTGTATCGCCATGCAGATGCTCATCGTCCTTTGACCCATTAAGAACAGTTGTCACTGCAGTTGCCAGTTTCTGACTCACACGTTTGACACTGGTATTTTCAGCTGTTAATATTTAGTTTAAGACATCAGTTATTTCTGCTTTTAAACACCAAAACATTTGTCACAGAATTCACTGAATAGTTTTGAAATAAGTCATCTAGAGTAAGCTGTGAATTCTGCTTTTGATTGTACAGTTCTAATCTGCAATAATTAAATGAACTACCAAACAGGCAGAAATAATGTGCAAGTTACATAGTTAATAGTTTAAACACGCAGATAAAATGTTTTACAAAAATTCTAATATGATGAGTTTTCCCTAGAAAAGAAAGTCACCAATTTAAAAAAAGTTTCTCAAAACAAAAAGAAAAAAAAATTAAGTACATCACTAATTTCAAGCTAATTTAATTAGCTCAAAGGTTCATTGTTTTCTTGAGGTGCCAATTTGGAGCATAAAATGTAAATATATATATTCAGGGAAATTAAATCCTCCTTAGACAAATGGCTCGTAATAACGGGCATGATGAACTGGAAGGAAGGGGGGGGTGACGACAACACAAAAAAAACCCCAAAAGAACAACAAAACCAAAAAACAACTTGTCTGGAATTAATCCAGATAAGCCTTGCTTCTTCATAGCCAGCACCAAGCAGTCTTTCCTTCTAAAAACTGCATGTGATATGGTACTTACCTAAGAGAAATCAAAGAGAGGAAAAAAAGGTCACTAAGAAAGGACAAAACCAAGTCAAACAGATACAGAGAACATTTCAAGTGTTCTTGAAGAAGTCAGGCTTTGTCGTTGACTATGAAGAAAATGGAGTTACTTAAAAGATGCTTATGTGCTACGAATGCTGTAACACCGATTTCCTTTGGCACCTTAAGTATTGGAGACAAACTTCAATTACAACAGCAGTCAAAATTTTTCTATAAAGCTAAAATTTCAAGTCATCAACAGATTTTTGGGGGGCAAAGTAAGTCCTCTTGCACAGGAATCAAGACCTAAGTACTTATTAAAAACTTTGTCTACTGAATTTTACCTCCATATATGACAGATTATTTAATCCTTGCTGTAACCGAAAACATTTGGCCATTCACATTCTGAATAGACAATAATGAAAAAGAACAATATAAAAAAAACTCACCAGAATTTCCTTTGTATGCAATACCATGCTGACTTAATAAATCTTTAAGTTTTTTTATTTCCTTAGAAAGTTGCTTGTATTCCTAAGAAAGAAAATACATTTAAAATGGCTCTCCCACTCTCCAAATGCATACACAAAATGAGAGTTTATAAAAAATAATGTGTCTGTGTACAGCTGTTGCAGCTTTTGACTTAAAAACTGCTCATTCCAAGAACAAGGTGTAAATTTTATAAAAAGATATATTTCTATGTTGCCAAAAAAGGAGCCAGCTTTTTCCAAGCCCAAGAGTAAAAATTAGGAGTGCTTTCTGTAATTATTTCGGAACTATCCTCTAACTAGCATTTTATCATAGCACAAAATTGCATTCATAAGTTTGCTACAGGACCAGCCTTATTTTATTTTATATCCTAATGCTACAGTCTGGAAATTTGTCACCACCTCAAGTCTTGACCTAGTAACTTCACGTTCTTGCTTTCAGGGGTTTCTGTTAACTTACAGAGCCAGGGATTGCTTAGTACTTTTGATGCTCAAACCACGTATCTGAAATCTTGAAGAAGCCCCAATTTTTTGTTGTGTTTTGGTTTTTACGCAAATCAAGAAAGAGCAAAAGATTAACTATTTAAGATTCTGTGGTTACCAAAACAGCCAACTTTATGTCAATTAAGCTATGATGAAGCCAGAAAAAGAAGTAGAAATTATTAAATACTGTATTGTTAACTATTGAAAAAAAAAAAAAAGGTGAATATTCCAGCTCCAAACAGTACCACATCAAAATGGTGATCTTGATATAAGTATATTCAGCTTAACCACAGTTTATTTGGTTATATTCAGGAATTATTACGTGGTGTTTTGTCTTTGCTACATTTGCAAATAAAATGACAACAGCAGCTTCTTCTCTGCGTTATAATGAATTAATCCCCTTCCATGCTCTTTTTTTGATGTTCAGTTTGCGCTCTTTTAGGCTGAGCACACCTATTTTCCCCATTTCAATTCTGTTGCAGAAGGACTGTTCACACACATGAAAGTCATTCAGAAATGGACACAGCATTGATCATTCTGCCTTTTGCTTGTGTAACAGCCAATGCATTCTGACACGAGTCTGGGTAATTATCCACAGAGGCAACTGTCAATATTCCCAAGGCTGGTTACACATTTATTTTCACTAGTAATTCCTTCCTATTTCGAGGCTGATATTCCCCAGAAAGAGTACTTACAAGGCATTCATAACCCAAGCGCCTCCACTAATTCCTACATACCCCCTGGTCTTCTTATTGGGCATTCTGTTGTGCTGGTTCGTTTTTGACTTAAGGGCTAGCATGAAGATATCAAATCACTCTGTATGCAGACTGTTACATATTGAAACCAGAAAAGATAATCCCATGAACAGATTTCAGCTGAATCCAAAGAGTATTTACATAATGCTGTCACACTGATACTGTCATACAGTAAAAAGGTGGCAATTTAATTCCACATTGTAAATATTACGTTCTATACCTTACTGCACTTCTCCACTGTTTCAAATTCCAGACTTATTTTCTTATTCTGTTTCTCAACTTCCTTTTCTTCTGTTACTTTTAGAAGTCCTGCTTCCTCAAAAATCTCTTTCAGTGTTTTTTTGTATCCCTAAAAAAGAAAGTTTCCAAAAGACAATAGATCAATCCACCTGACTCTCATCTCTGCTTGCAATTTGCACTGGCCACTCCCAATTCCTCAAGCTCCACTGTAGAAAACATTACAAATACCAGTTGATATGGCAGTTACAGAGCACAAAAATTACTATTTGCCAACTGCAGAATAAATGCATCCATTCCAAAAGGAGAAACTGCAGAAGCCAGGTTTGGCTACTTGACAGCAATTGTTCTGGACGAAATAGAGTTGGAAGAAATTAACAAACCTGGTCAGTTATTAGTTCATCATACAGAAGCTGCTCTGCTTCATCCCACCTCCTTTGTAGTGCTTCAGTCAGAGTTGGATAAACTGAAAAATGGAAGTCAAACCATGTAAAAACCAACAGCACTGTCCTGCATTAGTTAAATGCTCCTCTAGTAGCATGCACGCGTATTTGTTTTAAGAACTCAATGTTTCTATACAGTACATAGTCTCTACTGCTTTCAAGAGTTGGGGTTAAACTTAAAACTTAAATTCTGCTTCACACATTTAAAGTTTCTGGAAAACGCCACCGACCAAAATTTTTTTCTCTTATTTCCAGCTAGAAGGCCTCATATTTGTTTATTGAATGTAATTCTAACTGAGCTCTCCCTTTTTGTAATATAAGTAAATGAGCAGATACTACAGGGCTCATTCCTATGAGTCCAAGAAAAAAGCAAAAAATCACTCGCTGGGTCTATACTAGCAATGACAATTTATTTGAGAAATACCTATGTGTTATAATGACTGGGATTGAAAATAAACAACTTATTATATGTTACATTTAATACTCATTTATATCAAGTTACAAACTCAACAAACGTAAAAATTTACACTCTGAGGTTGGCGTAATATGCCAGCTGCTCTACACAGAAATTATTTTCTAAATCTTACCTAAAAGAGAGTGGGGATGGCACACGAGAGGAGTCTCAAATGTCAGAGAGTAAACACAAGTACTTGGCTCAGACACAAAAGCCAACTTATTGCTCTTTCCACAAACAAGATGAACCTAAACATCAGTAAAAACAAAGATGAGTGAAACACCTCCACATGAAACAGGACCAGCACTGATGATCAATTCGCTGTCTTGCAATGCTAGCAGATGCATTGCTGTATATACTGTCATGTCAAAGCTTCCAGTGCTGTCACCCACAGAAGAAGAATCATATCAAGCACATCTTCAAATTATTTTATCAAATGTGAAAATTGCTTCCTCTACTGGGAAATGACCCCCCCCCCGTATCACTGTTCCTTGGACTCCCAAGCACCGTATTTCCAGCAAGAATGAGAGTAAAAAGGAGGGTGAACAGGATGTCCTTAGAACCTCATCTGACATAAGCATAATTCACTTAACAAATTTTAATTCTGACCATGTGCTAAATAAAGAGAACAATACACATCTAGCCTGTAGAAATTTGTTTTCATCTTTAAACTTGTAGCACCAGTATTTTCTGTCTGTTCAAAACTAAATGCCAGTGAAAGATTTGAATCAATATCAAAGGTCATAAAAGAATAGTAATTCTTTCTGCAGCCCCTGTGGGAGATGAAGATATTAACAAGGCACCTCCATTACAGTACAGAATATTTTCACCTTGGCGAAGACATTTTGTCCCTTATCCCATCTTCACATTAGTTATTATTCCAACTATATATCCCTCTCTCTTAAGTATTGTATTGTCACCCATCACTGTAATAGCTAAACATCTTCTACACGAAAAGCAGCCTGTTGTGAACTATATGGTATCTTTAACTCTTCTTCACGACAGTGATCTATGTCACATGGGAATGTGAGGTTTAATTCATTGTATCTGTAAAACTGTGCAACACACTGAAATGGGAGGTGGAAAAATATTAATGAATAAAAGGATAAAGGACGTGTGCAAATCATGTGCCACACATTGGGCAAGTCTCCTTTTCCTTACCCTTCTAGTTGAATAGTTACTTGGCAGAGTCTGTTTGAATGTGAAAAGGAACAATTTAACCACTCCACAAAATAAGAATTTCTACTTTTTCTTTAAAATGTACTCACACCAGAATCTGTTTCTCTTGAGCTGGTTCCTCTGCCACTCCCATGTATTTGATTCCTCCTTAATTCTCCTTGCATGCCCTCTGCTCGTTTTAACACCTTACTTAGCTTCTCAGCATGCTGTTCTTAACTGCCTAATTCTTTTCCCTCCTTTTCCCTGGATGTTCTTAGCACAATAGGCTGGCATCTTGAATTCAACAAATAGCTCTTTTTCTTTATTTTTCCTGACACGACTTACAAAGCACTATGTTTCTACAGTAGTGATAATACCAGAATATTCCACTCTATCAAGGAAAAAAAGAGTTAAAAGTAACCAATGAGAATACATAAGTAAACTTATGCAAAATTTTATCCTGATTTTAGCATCCCTCCTCCATTCATTCACCTAGCTCCTACAGGAATTCATCTTTATGTTTTATATCACATCTTAAATGATGACTTCTGCAAGGTAGCAATGTTTCAGTCTGTAGAGTGTCATGAGTGTGTGTAGGGAGCCATGCTGTCTGAATTAGCATAGTCTAGGTTATTATACCTTTGTCTGTCTGCTCTTAGTTTCACATGAGTCTCCTTCCCTCATCCACATTCCAACAAATGTGTTGTTGTCAATTTCCCATTCATGCCAGATTCTGAAAAAAACAGGACATCATTTTATTTTAAGTTACTGGAAAGAAAAAAGTGAACACTCAGAAAGAAATACCCTTACACCATGTTCAATTTAACTGTATATACTTCATTTTTGTTGTCTTATTATTTCCATTTCTTACAGCCAAGACCTTATAAACAGTGTAGCTTGTTATCCAGGCTGCTACATAGGGCACATCAACATTACTTTAAGAGCACAGTTTTGGATCAGCTTTCAGTTTGCAAACCATTTGCACTTACAAATCCATGTTTAAATCCAATAAAATACAGCTTATAGATCAATCCCACAACAAATTCCATGATGCTAAGTACCCTGTGCAACTTCAGATTGTTTGCAGGATTTTTAGTGCTGGTGAGAGGACCTACAAAAACTAGTCTCTACTTCTGCTAGTCCTAAAGCCAGTGATACTCTCAGCATCTTGATGTACCCTTTTCCTCTCATATTGGCTCACTAATTATTCTGCACATAGGAAAAAAAGAGAAATCTATATACAAATATTTAGAAAGGCAGTAATTTTAAAGCAGTGCTCTGGTTTATTATTAAATCTATTTTAGGTCTTATGATTTGGATACTCTAGGATCTTTGAATACTTCGGGATACTTTTTTGGGTCTACATCAAGTCTTCTATTACCTTTTATTAAATATGTTTAACACAACCACTAGGCATAAAGCACTCATTTAATTTTTGTAAGGTTATATTCAGCTCAAAGTGAAAATAGTTAACAGACATTAAATCTTTGTTAATATAAGCTGTAGTTATGCATTATTTAACTTCTCACATGAACACGCCATACCTGCAGTTGGCACTGGTTATTAATCAACCTCCAGCTAAAATAGGAGGTTAGTATTTATCAACAAAAAAAAAATCTGAATTTTTCAAGATGGGGTATTTTTATGCGTAATGGCTTGGGAACTACAATAACCTAAGCTGACCAATAAAAGAATCTTAATTTTAAAACTGCCACCTTTTTAACAATCTATAAAATGGTCTGCTAACAACATAGGTAAAACTTAAAGGTCTAAAAGCCTCACCCTAAAATCCCACTATAGGCGTTCCATCGAAAAGTCTGCTCATGCTGAGTGACGTTATGAAAAGGACAAAACTCATACTTGTACCTTGAAAAAAAAAAAAAGAAAAAGAAAAGACAAAGAAAATAAGAAATGTTTCAGACTGAAATAAAAAACTAGTTCGTTCCTAATAAATACATAGAATTAAATACCCAAATCCATTACTCACGTGGATTCCACAAAACTGAAACACTTCCCAGCAAGCCTAAAGAGATGTGCAGGGCCTAAAAACACCACAAAATTACATCAAGGAAGAATAATGTTTTGGTTAAATTTAAGCAAGTTACTGTGGTGACAAAACTGCAAGGAGTATGTGACAAATTTAGTTTTCTAAAGGAAAATAATTCCTGTACATAAGGAAATTTGTATCTTCCATATGGATTACCATATATTCCCACTAGTGTTATATTGGTTTGCATCATGATCTTTAACATTTTTCATCTTCAATACTCAGTGAAATAGATAAGCCTCTTTCTACAATAGAAATAAGAAACTTCTGCTTGGCAGCTGTCTGTCCCCAAAGTCATCCAAACTCCTCAGGTTTACACTAGTAAAGCCCATTTGCTCAGAACGTTGACAGTGCTGCATATTTAAGTTTCACTGAGATTCTCAAACTAAGATACTCCTTTTCACAGTTTGCCTTCACGGTCTGACCCAGTTAGGATTCAACAAGATAAACTTTTTACTGTCAGACAGGTCAGCAGTTACAATTCTACTCTTGTAGAATTGACCATTCCAGCCTTGTTGTCAAAGGAATCCAAGACAGGTAACTTGTCATTCAAAAAAGAGCCAGAAGTTCTGATCTATGTGCTACAGGCATATTTCAGTGTCCCTTGTTTAAGGTAATTTTGCATGGAATAATGAAATATTTGTGAGGAAAGGAGAAGAAAAAAAATTACAAAGCAAATAAAACCCCATCCTGGATTCTAATTCCCCACTGCCAGGATTGCCTATGTGCTCTTTCCAAAGATCTAGACAAGCAATCTTAGAAACAAAGATCAGACCACCAGAATCATGCCCTCCAGAATGCCCTAACCACTAGGATACAGGCAGGTTCCCGTGTGATTTTTCTGACTGTACGATCTTGCATTTCATTCTATGGATTATCATAGGCTTGGCCAAAGGGTTTGTCCTTCTACTACATGCAACCTGTGCCTTAGTGATTAGGATGCTCTCCCCACAGAGGAAGAAACGCAAATTTGAATGTCCCCGAGGAATGCATTAAACTCATGCCTCCATTTCCTGGGCAGATGCTCTAAAAGAGAAATTATAGGAACTATTACCCCAACTGTCTTGTAAAAGAAAAGAACAAGTAAGGTTTCCATGCTAAAGAAACAACTGTGCAAGACAAGGTTCCAGGTCCTAGATTCCAGTTCCAGACACTCCAAATTTTTGGCTATGCATAAGTTCCCACATCCAGGAAAGAAGGGCTTCTAGCGTACTGTCCTTTTAACATTTTTCTTGCTATTTTTGGTGTCTTTCCATTCAGCCTTGTAACTATTACTAATCCCATTTCTAACTATTTCACTTTTCACATGCAATACATGCAGAATTTATATATTTGATTTGCATTTATAAAACACGACAGAAGATATTAAGCATAATCATGTTCAGTGTCACCAAATCAAAATGCCTTTATTGAACCTGAACAAGGTTTAAGTCTGTGCTTAACGTTAGCAGAGAGACAAGAGTTATTTCCTTTTGCTTACTCTTTGCATTCAGTGTTTATTTTACCTACTCTCCTCCATATATGGTCTAGAATTTTTTAGATTCCTGTTTATTTTGCAGAAGTGGTGGATTTATACTGCAGCACCCAGGCTTTGCGTGTGAAACTGAGCCTCCGTGATTTGTTCCAAGACTACTCTTAGGACTTTCTTTAAAACAATTTTTGAGTATCAAGTACTATCAGATGATGGGACAACTTTTATATGACAATCTCAAGGATGTCAGAGATCATTTCAAGAAGAAAAAAGTTTTTAGTAAAGGTCAGAAGGATCTGTGACTGGCTCAAAAAACACAGAAAACATATGGATAGCACTGTGGCAAAAGCAGTCCAAACGGCACTGGGACATGGAACACCAAAGAGGTTAATCTAAGCACAATAAAATGTATTTGTCCACACTTACTTTCCATGACGCTTATAAAATGACAAGTAAAATTAGTCTTTGTCTGCACGAAGTCAAGGTAGCCTACCCTGCAAATGACTGTCACTAGATGATGAAAACAGTACAGAAAAGGTCACGCTTGCATATACCTGATACTGCAGATGGAGACATCTTTGGCTGCAGCCTATTTGTTTGAGGCAAGAACGGGTTATTCAACCTTTCAAAAGAAGAAAAGTTAGACGTTTAAGCCTGGGTTATGCATCTGACTATGGTTATATCCTCCCCTGCGCGAGTGTCCCAACACCTACAGCCACGCGCTACGCGCGGGGAGCGGCGGCCCCAGCCCACGGGCCCACCACCGGAGCCGGCAGAAGCGTCCCGGCCGGGCCCGCCCTTCCCCGGAGGAAGGAACG